AGTTAAACCACGCTAACCATATGCTACGCTGCCTACACGGACTGCAACTCCAATATGCTAAGCTATGAAGAAAGCCACATTGCAAAGAGCCACTTGTGTTTCTGAACGCTCTGGTGCAAACTGCCACATAAACAAAGGCTTGTTCAGTATGGCTGTACTAATGAAGGGACCTGGACCATGAGCAGTGTTTTCAGACTGAACCAGTATACAGGCCTTAAATTGTATCATTAAATATCATACATGTTCATAGAGGTTCTAAGACCTGATGCGGCTTGAAGGCCTTCAACCAAGCAGGTTATCTGTTTCTAGGTAATGTTTCAGTGGTGAGCCAGCTATTTTAGAAATCTTCTTAGATGTTTGACTTAAAAATCCCTTGGTTGTCAATGAACATCCACCAGCACAGTGTTAGCCAACTTATTTTAATCCAGTAGACAATATTTGGGAAACTTGATCATGAGAACTAGTGATTGACCGATATTTTCAGGGCCAATACCAATACTGATTATGAGTAATCAAGAATACCAATATTGACCGATATTCATTTACCATAAATTTGATGTTTGTAGTGTGAAAATTTACAAAAATGCAAGTCTTACTCACAATTCTCATTAAATGTATATTAGCTTTGAGCTTTAAACAGTATAGGCTGCAAAAATAATAAACATTTTAAAGTTATCTTTACAATAATAAAAAATGTAAAAAATAACTTACATAGCTCTCAGTAGCCATGTTAACATGCAGCTTAATAATCAGTTGATAATCCAACTAATAGCTCAATCGGAATACACTAGTTTGACTGAGGCCATTCGGAATACAATTTCTATCCGATTGATTGAGGTGGGTAATCCTGTAAATAATCAGTTAAATAAAAGAATAATATCTGTGTAGACGTCTGTATCTGATTACATTCCCTATCAGAAAGTCTAAGTCCGTTCTGATCATGTTCGTCGCATCATAGTGAAAGTCTATAACATTCAACATGGCGGAGCAGAAACTGGTCTGCAGAGGAGACGAAGTTCATGCTCTGATCTTTAAAAGACGGCGGTGGGACGGACGTCCAGCTTATGTGTCTCAGAACACGACGTCTTCCTCTCGGCCTTCTTTAATAAGGACATGTGAAGGACGTTTTCCTGAGTCTGACATCATTTTAAAGGAATTAAAACACAAGCACTGCTCACTGCTGCTCATCTCACTCTGACTGGACTCATGTGATGCTGGTTGTCATGGTAACATCTACACTAAGTGGTTCTACTTGTAGTGTTCATGTAAGTGGAGATTCTCTGTCAGATTGTTGAGTTGAGTGAGCATAAACACCTCAGTCTTAATCTACAATCGGAATGTATTCAATCGGATTGGCAAAAAACTTTGCATGTAAAGCCAATGATGTTTAATAGTCAGTGAGGTTTGTAAGTATAGCATAGATGTTTGTGGTATAATATTAATAGCATAAATAACTTAATAAAACATAACTTGCCAATCCTTCCAATGTAGTCATCATCACAAACATGCCTTAAGAGTCACAAAAAATGTTGCCCCAGAACTAAGATAACATCTTCAGTGTCTTTGTGAAGATTTGAAACAGGTTCTTTTTTGTTTTATTTTTTATTAGATGCTATAGCAGCAAATTAATTTGGAAGTCTTTATTCTTGTTGTGCACTTCATGAAATTCTACAGTTTAACTACTACAGTTATGTTAAAATGTCAAATCAACTTAACAAATGAGCTGTTATTTACTCTAGCTAGTGGTTCATGTAGCTAAAAGTGAGGGGTGTCTATAGTTATGAAAAGAGGGTGAAGATAGGTTAATGTGTATAAATTATCACTGCTTGCTGCCATGATAATCACCTACACTTATGTTTTCATCTGAAAGTGATGCATTTTTCCATGCATGCTGATATTTATGGATGATATGAACTGTTAAGGGGCAACAAATATTCAGTCAGGTTGCAATTAGAGGGGTCCAAGCACTACAGCTAATTAGGCCTCAATAAGCCCTTTAGCAGATGCAAAAGAAGTGATGGGCTGTCACTGAGTATTTGTAATAACCTCCATTTTTAATGATTGTTTATGAAGATGTCTGCCAAATTATGTACAAACTGACCTGACCTTGTATGTTAAGATTTTTAACAAATATGCCAAAATGGTAATTGTTTTTTGTGTATTCTAGTGTCAGAGAGAACAACTATGCATAGTTTTTATATGTTAAACATCATTTAAATTTTCTCCTGGAGATGATGCTTCCTGACCTCCCCTACCCCTACCTTTCTCACGCCTAATGTGTTTGCATGTCTGCCTATAGAAATTAACATCTGGATTATTGGAACTAGAAGTCAGACTATGATTCCATATATGAAACGACCTTATTTAACTAGGATAATACTTATCAAAATCATAGAGAAAAATGTTTTATTCTGTACTGGGCAGAAATCAGTGTTCTGAGGCATCAGCAGTGAACGAGTTACACAGTACTGAGAAACAAACCATTACAAGTTTTGTTATTACACGTATAAAGTGGCAATAACTGGTCTGTAAATTCCCTAATGACCAGTAAGTTTCTATGTGAGTTTGTGGCCAATGTCGCTCTTAAACGATGTAGTTGCCCTGATCACTTTACACTCCTGTTTAAATTACTCATTTCCATGTAATTGTTTATTGGAATAAAAAATCAAGAGCAGCCTGCTCTGTTCCTTTAATGAGGCACCATTGAGGCAATAAGCAAAACTACCTGGGGAAATAAAAATTGCCACCAGATTGTGAGTTAAATTGATCCCTGAAATGTGGGTACTGGAAATTGCCCAGTTGCACAACAGAGGCATTTGTTGGCCATTCATATTGCTTTGTTTTCTGCTATGTGAATATGCACTGGCTTTAAGAGTCTAAGCAGTGAGTTTTTTAAAAGTTTATTATGTTTTATAATATGTAAATCAATTCTCTTCTGCAGGCTGCATGTTTAAGTAAGTAAATGTATGCAGTTTGTGTAAAACATTGGATACAGCCTACAGATGGCACGATACCACTTTTTCTTTTCTGATACCTATACCAGTAGTTAAAGCTTACGTATTGGCTGATATGTATCCACTGTTTGAGCTTTAAAATGATTTTTGGTCATCTAAAAGGAGGCTCTCATGCACAGGTGTGAAATATTCCACCGCCGTCACGTTCAACTTCAGTAATCGTCATTTCTTCACATGAAAATTAGGGTAACACTTTACTTGAAGGGTGTCTACATAACACATTCATAACATCTTACATAAACACTTCATGACATATTCATGAATGTTTAAATCAACATTCATAAAGTATACATGTTTTACATGACATGATTGATATGGACTAATATGTCATTTTGCTCTGATATATATTTTTCAAAATAAAAGACCATTTTTTTTTATTTTGAAAGAAAAGACAGAGTAAAAAAGAGAAAGAATTATGTAAAATACAAATGCTTTAGAAAAAAAAAGTTGAAAGAAAAGTTAAAAGAAAGTTGAAAGTCTAGGCAAAAAAATCTCAAGCACTTTCTGTCCAAAGTGTCAAAGCCATTTTTTTTTGGCTTTCCAGAAATAACTCACTGAAAATAATATAGTTTTTCAAAACACAAATGGGTACTTTTATTCTGAAAATACATATCTGAGTAAAATGACACAGTAGTCCAAATGAATGTCATGTAAAACATATATACTTGTTATGAAGTGTTTATGTAAGATATTATGAATGTGTTATGCAGACACCCTTCAAGTGAAGTGTTACCAAAATTAGCATTTCCATATTGCACAGATCTCATGGAAAGACAATGGAATGTCAAAGACACACACAAACACAGTGCAAATGTGTAAATAATAGAACTGCGAATAGGGAAACATTTCACTCTTTCATTTTACTTGTTCAGATTTATCAATATGTGAACTACAAATTATGTATTATCTTGTTATTATTATTAAACAAAAGGTTTTTGACTGAGCGTGTGATGAAGAGCAGCAGAGAATAAAGAATGCATACACATCTGCAGTTGTGTGTATATGAAGTCAAAAGCCCCAAACAAAACATTCTTAAGAACGACATTTTGCTAACAGGCTCCTCCAACAATATTCAGGGTTTGCCTTTAAGTCAAGTTAAGTCAAGTCAGCCTTATTGTTGGTACTACAATATGTACAGGACATACAGAATATTGACATTGCATTACTCTCAGTGAGTTCAGTATTGGGGAGTGGGGGTCAGGAACCTGTGTTTGGGTCCAAATTTTGTGTGTGTGGGGGGCAGAAGGGGGGGGGGTTCTACAGTCCATACAAGGAACACTGTTTAACATCTTGGTGCATTAATACAAAATTCATACAGCAGTGTGCATATTTCAAGCATTTTACAACAGCTTTAAACTTGGCTCCGCCCACTCATTATCACACTCACCTATAGCTTGTTCTGGACTCATTATCTCCTGTCTATAAGTACAGTTTTGTTTGTGTTGCAGTATTTCTGCGTATTTCAAAGCCATTTTTGTTTCCTTGTCTTTGATTTTTCCAGTGTATCTAGGGTATTATGTATTATATATTATTTCCAGTGTATCTTTTGGTATTATGACCCTTGCTTGTTTTTTTGGTTTACCTTCCTGCCTGTGTGTTGACCTCTGTCTGTGATGACTACGAGTGTTAGATTGCCCCTAATAAAGCCACTTCACACATGTATCCTGCCTTTATTCATCACAGACTAAGCCAATCAGATTTCAGAACCAGAACTATCTGTTTTGCATATTTTGAAGAAGTTGCATCCTTGATTTTAGGCTTGTCGGTTGATGATGAATCATAACTAATGACGAAAATTTGCATCCCTATTAGTCAATATATTCCATAAAATATTACATAACACAATTCAATATTTTCAGTATGTGTTCTGTTTTGTCGCTCTCAAACACAAGACATGCTCTGTTTGTGTGCAAGAATGCCTGTCTGTTTTACAGCAAAGTGACCTGACTGGTATTGACTGTAGCATGATGTATATTTGTGTCCCAGGAGAATCTGTGGCTGGACAGCGTCTCTCTGCTCATCAAAGACTCTTTTGAGGGGGAGATGCTGTTGATTGACAACCTGTCAGGCTCCGTCTTCCACCACTACTCCTCCCCTCCGGTGTGCAAAGACTGCAAGAGTCATCCTCAAGAGGTACAGGCTAGCGGATAGATGCACAGTTTATTAGCAACACCTACACCGTGCTTCAGTGACCATTTATGGGCTCCACCTTCCTAATATCAAATACCTATGTAGGTGTACGTTTACAGACTTATCTAGTGCCAGGTTTGGTAACCACTGCTTTAGTCCAGCTGTTGCAACACAGCTTATTAGTGCCCCCACCTCATTCATCATTGGTCAGTTTCTAACCACAGGACCACTTTTGTCCGGATATTATTTGGGTGGTGGTGCTTTCTCAGCACAGCAGTAACACTGACAAGGTAGTAGCATTTTGAATATGTACTCACATTAAAAATGGTCCACCCCCCAAAAATGTCCAGCCAAGAGTGGCTCTGTGGTCAGAAACTGACCATTGATGAAGGGCTAGAGAACTATCAACATGCATCAACGGACAGTTTGCAGTCTCAGTCTCTTTCTAATAAAGTGGCCAGTAAACTTCCACAGACTACTACAGTGAAGTTCATTATACGTAGCAATACACTCTTAAAGAAAGACGGTTCTTTAAGGGTTCTTTAGTAAAGACAATGGTTCTGTATGGAACTGTGAACAATCAAAGACCTATTTGCATGCTTAAAGGGTTCTTTGCATGAAATGGTTCATCATAGAGAAACATACGTGCTTCTCTACAGTGGTGGTGATAGGAACTAGGGGTCATAATACTTATGACACAAATATGACTATCCAAAATCACCAGTGAACCTAAACACGTCTTCTGAGTGTTTATATGTAATGTTGATGATAAAATAGAGATAAATCTGAAAAGATAAGTTTCTTTGGGACTATTTTGCCTCATAGCACCCTGCATGTACCCCTCCACCATGGAACCTTCTCAAAACTGTCGTAAAACATCGTCTCAGGCTTTAGACAACATCTTTGTAACATGTTTATAACCATAAAAAACCTTCTGTGAAGGAGCTAAATGCTTTCGATGTCTGGTTCCTATCACCACCACTGTGTACGCACTCTGACTGATTCTGATTTGGCAGGTTTCTCTAGAAAGGCTCTTCGGACTATTCGGAATGACTTCGTTTACAATCCTAGTGATTTAATTATGCAAAAAAAAAAAATTAAAACATTGTGGTGAATTTCCACTTTAAATTTTTTTAGCAGGTCCTACATAGTTAAGTGAAAATCTATACAGAATGCCCCCCCCCAAATGCATACATGCAGTTGCGTCCGTCACTATGACAGACAGGACAGGGATGGTTGGGGAAATAAGCAATTCAAGCAATAACCTCCTCACCTGTCACTCCTTCTTTCTGCCTGTCTGCAGACAGTGTCAGCCCATCAATCTGCTCTTTCTCTCTTCTCCCAGCTCTCCATCCCGCACTGATTTATGAAGTCTCTCCTCTCTCTCTCTCTCTCCTCTCTCTCTCTCTCTCTCTCTCTCTCTCTTTGACTCTGCGAGTTGCTCTCATTACTCAGATTTCAGAGATAGACCCTTTTTTCTCTCTCCTTTCTTTATCTGAAGCACAAACTGCTCTGTCTATCTGCCCCTGAAGTTCAGGATTTCAGACTGAAAAGCTCCAATCAGCTGCCAGATCAGAGGCTAAAAGCAGTGCTAAAACAACATTCTCTGCTAGCCTGCCACTGTCTAAATGTTTGGAAGTTATCAGTTTGGAAGTTATCAATTATCAGTTATCACCACCAGCCATATTAGTCCAAGACCATCCATTAGTTATTTAACATACAGTCAAAATCCCCATTAAGTGCAAACATACACGGATCAGGCATAACATTCTGACCACCTCCTTTGTTTCTACACTCATTGTCCATTTTATCAGCTCCACTTACTATATAGGTGCACTTTGTAGTTCTACAGTTACAGACTGTAGTCCATCTGTTTCTCTGATACTTTGTTAGCCCCCTTTTACCCTGTTCTTCAGTGGTCAGGACCACCATGGACCCTCACAGAGCAGGTACTATTTGGGTGGTGGATCATTCTCAGCACTGCAGTACCACTGACGTGGTGGTGGTGTGTTAGTGTGTGTTGTGCTGGTCTGAGTGGATCAGACACAGCAGTGCTGCTGGAGTGTTTTAACATCTCAGTGTCACTGCTGGACTGAGAATAGTCCACCAACCAAAAATATCCAGCCAACAGCGTCCTGTGGGCAGCGTCATGTGACCCCTGATGAAGGACTAGAGGATGACCAACACAAACTGTGCAGCAGCAGATGAGCTATCGTCTCTGACTTTACATCTACAAGGTGGACAATGAGCATAGAAACAAGGAGGTGGTCATAATGTTATGCCTGATCGGTGTATATTTAACAGAAAATTACAGAGAAACTTTAACAACTAAATATAATATCAAATTTCAGTATTTAGTGTGTCACAATGCTGATGTATTGTGTTGTTTGTTATGACAGCAGATCCATATGGCTGAGCTGGAGCAGGCGTCTCTGAGATCTGAGCAACTCTCGGACAAATCCTCCTCTCCAGCACTGCCTGATGACCTCAGCCTGGATGAACAGAGCATGTACCAGCTGACCAGGGTGAGCTTTGTCTCAGAAAGATGGCATCATTTCCTGTACAACCCCCATCCTCGTCTCCTGTACCTCCACCTTACTGGTATACAGTTAGAAACAGTAGAACATCTGACGCACAGCTTGTGTTATCCATGCTCTAGGCCTTCATCAGTGGTCAGCTTCTGACCACAGTGCCACTCTTGGCATGATATCTATGTGTATGTGTGGTGGTCCACTCTCAACCTACTGATGTGTAAAACACCAGCAACACTGCTAAGTCTGATACACTCTTACACTCCTAAAAAGATGGTTCTTCAGGGGTTCTTTAGTAAAGACAATGGTTCTGTATAGAACTATGAACACTCAAAGAACCGTTTGCATGCTTAAATGGTTCTTTGCATGGTGAGATCTCATGGTGAGCATGCAAAAGGTTCTTTGAGTGTTCATAGTTCTATACAGAACCATTGTCTTTACTAAAGAACCCCTGAAGAACCATCTTTCTAAGAGTGTACCAGGACCACAGACTATTATGTCTGTGCTGAGCAAGAACCACTGCCCACATAATATCTGGTCAATGGCATTCCTGTGGTCATAAACTGACCAGTTATGAATGAGGCTGATAAATTGTGCAGTCTGTAACTGTACATGTATAAAGTGGACCTATAAGTTAGATAAGTTAGGCTCACTTAGTGGCCAGTGAGTGGAGTGTAGAGGTCACTCCTTCATAGCATCCTTTCTTAACCAGTTAATCAGTCCATATTGCATACAAAGCTATCTATAGGGGGTTTATACTCTTTCACAGAGGTGTGGACTTGAGTCATATGACTTGGACTCCAACTCAAGTCACAGATTTGACGACTTTAGACTCGACTCGAGAAAATCGAGAAAAACCTAGGACACGACTTTGACTTGAACACCAATGACTCGAACTCTGACTCGAACTTGAGCATCATGACTCAGAAAGACTTGAGACTCAAAATGGAAGAAATGTGGACAGTCAGACTGCAGATGGGACTCTCTATTTTTCATGTGATTCATTTCGTGCCATAAATAAAAAAAAGCAGCGTCGTCAGACGTCTGTCACTGTGTTTATGCTCAGCTTTCGGAAGACAAGAGAAGCGTTAAGAGTTCAGGTTTGCCTCCATAAGCTGGAAACATGTGAAGCATCAACAGCATCAATGAGCCCAGCTCAGCACTTAAACTCCAGTCTTACTGGAGAAACTCACCAGGCGAACTGACAGTTTTCTTCATTGCAGCAGAAGAAAAGAAACACAGCGTCTCTCTGTTCGACTGATTTTAACCAGCGTAACATTTACCACGAGGCTGAAGTCGACTTTTTATTTGCCAGCCTTATATTGGAATTTGCCATTCTACCTTAAATCGTGCAGCAGTCAGGCACCGGAACGTAACTGTAGCACCATTTAAGGTGGAATGGCAAATTCAAACAAGAAGCTGATGAAAAAAGTAAACTTTAGCTTCATACATTCACCATCAATGTTCCAAAACATCATCAAAAATTATCTTCAAATATAAAGTTTTTTTTAAAAATTTATTTAATGAAGTTCAGTAGCACTTTTAAAATTCTTTTCATGTGTAGTTGCACTACTCTTTGTGTTTACCAGTATGTCTGTCATGGTTATCTGTGTACCATGGATTTTGTATTTTAGTTGGAAAAAAATAACAATACTAAAAAATAAATATACTGCAATACGCTGCTAACATGCTGCCATTGAAAGACTATAGTATTCGTTTACCATTATTCAGTTCTATGGCTCAACTGAAAAATGCACACTGACTTGTGTAAGGCTCGAAGATTAGGACTATTGACTTGGGACCCGACTTGAGCCTTGCCTGTGCTGACTCAAGACTTGAATCGAGACTCGACTATATTGACTTGGGACTTGAGTGTGAAGACTTGAGACTTACTTGTTACTTGCAACTTAGTGACTTGTTCCCACCTCTGCTCTTTCAAAGCATTCAGACGTTCCAGGCCTACTGAGCATCTTTTGATGAAAGCTCTATCGGTCATAGTCTTGCAACTGTGCCATACAATGCAAGAGAAAAACCATCACCCAGGGCTGAATAATCCACTCCAGTGAAGAGCCCACTGGGAGAGCGTGTGCCAAGTGCTACCTGCAGCTGTTTTATCCACTGCCATAATCTCTTAAGTCTCTCTCAGCATCAGCTCTTAATGAGGCCTAATCAGCGAAAATGGCTGTGAACCCCTACAAATTAGACCAAAGAAATCAAATAAATAAATCCTGCAGAGTAGCTTCATTTCTCTTGACTTTATTAAAACCCCTCTTCCTGCGTTTATCAGGCACAGCATGAAGAACGAGAGAACATGACGGGTGGAGGAAAACAACTTCCCTCAGCAGATGCAGCTTACTCTGTTTAATTGTTAGACTAAGGAAAGGCTGGGTTTAGATATATTCCCTTATTCTTGCTTTCCTGCTTACTTTGGTTTATTTAAGCATTACTAGAATATATGAGCTTTAGCTTGTGGGGAAAAAGTTAGAAGCATCTGGATTTCTGCTGGAAATGTGGTCTGAGCGCTGTTATGTTACAAATATGTCTCTTTTAACAAGCAACACATACAACATTCTACAGTGCCTTATCTGTGTTGAACAAATGGTTTGAACGATTAGTGTCCTTGACTCTTTAAAGGTTTGTATTGCACAGCTTGCAAATGCTTTTTGCAAACAGCTGGGAGTCTTTCTAAACTTGTTTTAGGCATTTTCAACCACTCTTCCTTGCAGAATGCAACGTCCTTTTCCATCTTGCATGCACAGCATGTTTTAAGATCTACCCACAGATTTTCAGAGCTATCCCAAAAGCTTCAGCTTTCAATTCTTGAAGGAGTTCATGGTGGATTTTGATGTATGTTTTGGATCATTGTCCTATTGTAGCATCCAGCCTCTTTTCAGGATCAGTTTCTTGACAGACTGTCACATTTACTTTTCGAATTGGCTGAAAATTAACGGAATCCTTTCTTCCATCTTCTCACACATTTACGGTCCGACTGGCTGCCACGAACCCAAAGCATAATAGATCCTGACTGTTGACTCTTGGCAAGGTGTTCTTTTCATCAAATGCTGCTCCTTCTTTTTTGCCAAACACTTATCTGGTGATTGTTGCAAGTAGTTCAGCTTTTACTTCATCTGTTCACAGCACTTGTTTCCAAAATGCCTCTGGGTAGATGTTGTTTTGCATACTTCAGACACTCTTCCATGCAGAACAACCACTCCTTCGTTTACTTATTTTCACTTTAAAAGTCAATAATTCAGCCAGGGAAGCCCAAATTGTTGCATACAAATGTAAATTGCTGTTGATTTTGCTACAGAGGAAAATGTTATGATGCAAATCTCATTTGTGGCTGGCTTAATTGCATGGTGCTATTACTTAGCAGCTATTGCCTAAGGCTACTGTAGCTAACTAAGCAAACTCACCAATTGTTTTCTAACTAATACTAAAGCTTTAGCTTCAAGGCTCCCAAAGGGGCATATTACCTTATCATGGCAAAGTTTTTGTCCTATAATACGTTGCTTTATAGAAACAAATGAACAATTTTCAGGCGCCAAAACAAGGATAACTGGAGTGTAAAGGGTTCACAAACTGCACACATTCATTTTGCTCATATGCTTTTCTTCCATTCGTAATATTGTATTGGCAATGAAGAAGAAACTGTATTATAGCATATTACAGCTGTAGTAGCCTCATCCTACATACAGTACCCCTGGTCATGGTTTAAAAGGGTAACATTAGACGCTGTTGGTGGTCCATGTCAGCTGGATGAGTTTGTTTTGCCCCAAGCCCCAGAGGCAATAAGTGTAGAGATGGGAAAGTGCTAACAGCTGTTGCAGGGTGATGAAAGTGCTAATGTGCTAAAGCTAACATTCCTCTTGTGTTTTCTCTGCACAGGAGGAGCGGGGCAGTGGGGAGGAAGCAGCAGGAGGTGGGAAGGAATTGATGCGACGGCCATCTCGAGTCCACAGCACCGGTGCTGAGGATGGGGCTCAGAGACAACTCCAGCACCCTCATACACCGGCCCGCCATAGTATTGGTAACCTCAGAGGAACAGTTTCAGAGGCATAATTTATGAATTTGATGTGTTTTAGGCTTCTGCATATGCGTGTCATGCAGTTACAGTAGGTATTTAGTTTGTGTTTGCCATGATAATCACTTTATGGGCATTCTGACTCCACCCTAAATGTCACTGTTTTCATCTGCTACTTGTTTAGTTGCTAGTGCTTATGTATGTTTGAATGAGCCATGTTTTGTCAGCCCCTTTGCAAATCGTGCTTTTCCTGTTTCCCGTTTCCCTGTTCTTCTTCGTAGTTTGCTTGTTTCCTGGAAATCTCAATGTTTGTTTTATCTTTTGCTTTTTTGCCATCTGCCTTTTTGTGTTTTTTATATGTCATATTATTATGAATATGCCTTGTCTGTAATGTATTTGTTTTCTGGAAAAGTCTAGAAAATAAAGAGACTAGCAAAGAGACTCTGCTAGAGTTTTGACAAAGTTAGGGTTGGGCAGATGGTGTTTAATATTTTAAATATCATAAAATTCAAGTAGGTAGAGAATGCATACTTCCCTGTCTTTGTCCTCTGCAGGTGGTGTTCTTTGTAGCAGCAGTAGCAGAGGAGATAGAGGCATTCCTGGGGGTGCGAGTGACTCCTCCACTCCTTTCCATCTCCCTGCAGAGTTCTTCCATCCAGCAGCAGCGGCCCTTCCGGCACCCCCCAGGAGCCATCTGGGCCACAAGCCCCGAGGCCTCAGAATGACCTCTCCAGCATCCTGGGCCTCCTTGCGTTCTCCTGGAGCCTGCAAACTGCTAACCACGCAGGTAGGTGCATTTTTGTGCCCAAATGGCATGACTATAAACTCAAACAAACCACTGCATAGTGCCACTGTGAAGTGCTATACAAGTAAAATTGCATTCAATCAAAGTAAAGTGAACAGATTTGGGCCTAAATTGGTGGTTCCTGACCAAGCACAAATTTTTGTACAATTGACAACAGAATAAAAAAAAAAAACACACGTTTTGCTCATTTTTATATTTTGTGCCACTGGAAGGAAATGGATGAGGTAGTGGTGGAGCAATAAAGCCACTTTTCCTGATTTTACTGTGTTTCCTCAGTACGCATCTCACAGTGACTCATCCCTGGCCACGGGCAGCTCAGAGGGAAGCCTGCAGACCACCATGGAGGAAGGGCTAAGCTTCAGCGTCTCTTCTCCAAAGGAACCCGAGTTCCCCTTGCCTCTGCTGGAGCCGCTGCCCAACAGGAGCACCAATGGCATTTCCACAGAGACCCTGAGGCCGGACGGGTCTGCTGCATCATCCCTCCAGGTCAATAGGGGGCACCAGCGCAGCCAGAGCAGCAGCAGCCCTGGAGAAACCCGGCAGGGCTACAGCCAGGCCTGCACCAGTGAACAGTTATCAGAGACAATGAGCAGCCTGTCTTTGACTTCACTGCTTTTGCCCAGCTCTCTAGCGCCCCCTTTGGCGAAGAAGTGCAACAGCACAGGAGACTTTGGAGCAGGGTGCCAATTCGGCCCGGGGAAAGGAACCTAGGCAACTGTTTGTGATGGACCCCCAGGGCCACCTTGCCACCCCATGGGTGGCGGGGAGGAAAGGGGCTAGGAAAGAACCATCTGAAGCATCGGAATATGAAGAAGAAAACACAAGTCAAGCAACAGTGGTGGGTTCCAGGAAAAACAGATGAAATATTCTTTTTTTGTTGCTGTTTCACTCCAAGGTCCACCACTCTACCTCTCCGTGTTTTTTTTTTCTTCTTCTTTTTTTGGCACGGAGACATTCGACGTGATATTTCGTACTCAACCCTGAAAAACAAAACCTGGTCTCGCTCTGTTCTCTCTTTTCATTTGTGGCCTGTTCCCATTTTGTATTCGTTCATGGGAGTGGTTCCCACCTGTGGTTGAGAGCGTTGTGGATGAGGAAGTTCAGGGGGAAGGGTGACATCCTTCCAATGGGAACAAAGGTGTAAGGAGACGAAAGTCTTCAAAAAGCTGCCAATGGATCCCGATGGCTGAGTCGAATCAGGGAGTCTAAATGCAAGCGCAAGAGGCGCGGCAGTCGCTGTTGGAGTTTTCTGTTCACGTTTTGGGGGAATCAGTTATTAAGGACGTAGCTGACATTCAAAGACTGACAGAGGGACTGCAGTTAAGAACTTTTTTGCTTCTTGTAGAAAGGGCATGCACATGCAATTAGGAATAAAAGCATCTTGCGGTGGAAGGTTGTAGAATCCCAGCTATATTCAGCAACATTGTGCACATGAAGTAAACTGTAGAACGTTATTGTGCGCTTGCATGCGTCCGTGTGTGTCCATGTCTGTGTGTGTATGTGTGCTAGAAGGAAAGGAAGTGCCCGCTTTGAGCCTCCCGACACATTTGCAGGCTTTTGAAGTTCAGTTTCGTCAAGTGAAAGAGGAGGGCCTAGATGGCTGATTCACTCCCGGTTGGAGACCACCCGTCAAGGTCAAACGCTGCTGAGTGGAGCTGGAGTAGAAAGATGAGAGGCTCTAGTCTTGGCTAAAGGAGCGATACGAGACGAGTCTTTGCCCAAGGACGACTCCTGCCTCAGAAAAAGAAAACGCCAGGTGCAAAAAAAAACCTCCCACAATCTTCTGCATGAAAGCATCTTTCTGCAGACGAGCTGAAATTTTAAACCATGTGAAGATGTCATTGCTGGTTGATAACAGATTTTTACTTAGATATTTTTTATAAACTGGATTGGAGGGGAGTCGGATATGTTGTGATTGCCTTGTCCTTGCCCCGTCCCTAATGTTTCTCCATCTTACTTGACGTTGTTTCCTGCAAGTGACTTCCATTTTTATAACTTTGGTAAAAGGGGAGGGGGTTTTTCTACATGGGAAGAAAACAACCATGCAAAACAAGAAAAAAAAGTTGTAGATTTTAAAATGTGGATTGCTCGTCGATTTCGAAGGCAAAATCAACGATGTGAAGGAGTATTGCATCGCTGGAAGATGTTGCGGTGGAAAACAGTTGTGGTACTGATTGAAAAAACTTTGACAATATTTTGAAAGCTTTAATTTGAGTGTCATATGACATAACTAGGTTTATTAGATATGCAACAGGTTAAATCACTAACAACACTGTTTTTTGGCATGGTTACTGGATGCTTATCCTTAATACTCCTTGAAATTTACACATTGCACTCCGATTCGCTCTATATTCCTTTAGCTTAGATTGGCAAGCCATTCGGTTCAAGTACAAACTGAGCATCTTTTAAACCTAAGTATGACACTCAAAGCATCCAATGCGGAAATGATGTTTTAGCGTAGTCTATTGTAGCATTTAGCATCCCTGATGTGTCTTTTTTTTTGCTAGAATTCAGGTGATTCAAATTGGCTTGACCTGTTGAACTTCATTTGGTAGTGGTTGTCTGTCCATAACGTGGAGATATCACTGATTAACAATTATATAGTATATCAATAGTGTTAAGTAGTATATAATCAAGACTGCACTAGTTCTATTCACAGTGCTCAGACAGTATTAGTCGGAGATCATTAAAGTGCTAGGGTTACTTAAAAAAGACACAAACGTGAAGGGCTTTCTCACTTTCCAAGATTTTCTTGGATATTTTAAGACAATACTGCTTATCCGTGGACAAGACAATGACAGTCTGATGATGCAGCAATAAATTAAAGCTTTGTATGCCCTAAATATGTCCAAATAGGATATTTCATGATAATAGAATAGAGCTACCCACATGATCTAAGCAGGAGTATCTGGCCAATCAGAACTTTTCCTACCACATGAATTATGGGCTGCCACCAGTTATGATGAACAAATGAGGTCATTTAGAACTCAGGGCCTTGGAACATACCACTAACGAATGCTCTGTTTTTTTAGAGCCGGGGAGGAAGGGAGGACTGTGAGTAAATTGGGAGCGCTTGTGTTTCAACACCTCCTTTAATGCCCTGAGCTCATACGCTTACATCGGTGTATCATGAATATGGCACAACACTGGCACTGACCGTCAAACAGATTGGCCCAATCTTGCGACAGTTTTGTAGCAGAGGGCTATTTTCTTCAGACCTCCAAAGAAGGAGTAACTCTGCCCTCAAGCCCTAACCTTAACTGTACGTAACGTCCTGTACGGGTATGTTTATTCTAATCTCTACTATCTGCAATTGTGATATCCTACTGAAATGGTCTGATTGCATGGTAGCCATTGCTATGTTCGTAGCAGTAGCCTAAAGTGTCACTGTCGTAACCTAAAATTCCAACCGGGAAGATGCTATGGACTATACTGGGTGTCATGTCATGTTTATGAAAGGCTTATGTAAGGTTGGCATCTAATGGCGTAGAGTATTAGACGAGGTTTTATCAAGCACTCTAGGATGGACTGATCACTGTATCATGAGGTGAACGTGTGTACATAACTCTGTATATTTGAACTGCATGTGTGCTATGCTACCAATGACAACGAAACCTTCATGCATTTTCGAGAGTCTGAGGATGAGAAAGGTTTCTGTTCTGGACCAAGAGGTCTGTTTATTTTCACACCCTTGAAGTCTTCCTTGTTTTACTTGGAGCTGACCGAGTGTTGACGTGCAACCTACATTTCCTAGCACAATCGACTGTGTATTTTCTTTTATTTTCTTAATGAGACTGCAAGACGACTAGGGTTACGTGTCACCTGAGACTGTCAAACTAGGCCTCAAAACTCCTTATCTGAAGTTTCAACACCAACACATGCATGCCAGCAGTTGCCACTGGGGATGGCAAAATGTTACTTGAATTTTCAAGGTATTATTTGAAAAGCAGCCCCTCCAAGTTATCAAATTGATTTGTCAAATTTGGCAAAGCTAGCCATTGATTGTTGCACAGCGGAATGAATTTTCGCTTGGTGGTTTGCTTTGAAAAGAGAATTCATATAATGTTTTCCCACCTATTTCTTGCTCCACCCATAAGTTCACATTTGATACCGAGACAAGGGGGGGGGGACAAATTCAGCACGAGTACTCTGGTATGACACAGCTCACCTTGCAGTGGTAACAATGGCAAAATGCGTGTTCACAGATTAGAAACCGTAACATACTACACTGCCTGTCAGAAAAAAAACACCACTGACTTTATCAGCATTTACATGCAGAAGTCCTGCGTGGAACTCTGGCCTTGTTCAGACTGCCAGCCTAAATCTGATTTTTGTCGTCTAGATTGTATCCAGATTGATTTTTGATAGTCTGGACAGCAAAAAAACCCTTGAAAATTTTGCAAATCAGATCCAAACCACATTTAGAAGTGGTTTGAAATGCGATTCCCATCAGATTTTTGCAAATGCGTCTCAGTCTGGATGCTCTGGCCGCTCAAATCGGATTTCAAAGTTTCTTTTGTGTCACTCACAATGTGACAAACAATGACGTTACCAAATCCAGAGTGACAGAAGTGCTGGGATTCAAAAAGAGCGCCAAAGATTCATGGAGGGTGAGTTTGGAGGGTGAGATGATGCACCCCCTATCTCTCCTGCATCTGCGTTTAAAATCTAGCTACGTAGTTACTTACGCCTACGTCGTTACTACAGCAACCCATACAGATAGGCTGGTGATGTCGGGATACACAAATCTGATCTGATCACTTGCAAATAACAGCATGGACAGTTCCCTCAGAAGACCTGATTTGAGAAACAAGTCCGATTTGCCTGCAGTCTGAACACAGCCTCTGAACCTAGTAGAAGACAGGCTGTATGCAGCTCTCAGATCTTAGATTTGAGATCTAACACACTCATTTTTGTATTTGATTTTTGAGACTTGTTTGTGTTTTCAGAAATTTTGATTCATCCCTTTATTCTCTGTAGCCACCATGTAGCTTGGCCCCTCAGGGACCCTCAAGAGCGGGTTAAGGGGTGGGGGGCTTAGGAATGAGTCAGAGATGCTAGGAATGCTTGGTTTTGTAAGCCACTGAAGCGAGAGCACATTTAAGAAGTGTTTCTTCCCCCTCACCTCGCACTTCCTCTCTCCCTCCAGCCATCCCTGCTTCTCCAAATGTCAGCAGGTCCTCCGCTCCGCCGCTTGAGCGTGCCGCCTCACAGCCCAAATTTGCCATTAGATTTACATGCACAAGACACTAATCCTCTTTCACACAAGCAGAAGGAGATAATCAGCGTGAGACACAGTGGGCAGCTGTCGAATTCGACAAGGATCCGCATCTGCATACTCTACCATTCAAAAGTTTGGAATGGCTTGTTGTAATAATATAATAGTTTGTACAGAGTAGATTAAATTGTCATAAACTTGACAGCAGAATGTGTAATTAATTGTTTTATTCAATATTTCAAGCATTTTGTTATCAAGAAGATGATAAACGATGAATAATAAAAGCTCCCCAGACAAAAAATTAGTCACCGTGCATGTTTAAGGTGTAACTTCCGGCTCCTGTAGATGGCGCTGCACGAGGATCACCAGGCTATAAATACCTGCGGGGAGTGTGACAGGATTCATAGATTGAGAAAAGGTGGTACAGTGCAGTGAATGTCTCATTTGATGTGTGGAAAATGGGACACAAAGCAGATGTTAATGGCAAAAAGGAGTGATTGCATTTGGCCATGCCAAAGGCCACAGTGTGAAGGAAGTAGCTGCATTTGCAGATGTATTGAAGCTTACGGTCATACGGATCGACCAACAGTGGCAAAAGTCCCAGTCTACAGGAAATTCTCATCAGAATTGTGTTCGAAAGATGAAACTGCCGTCACCGTGTTTTGCAGCTTGTGAATAAAAATCGCTTCTCTTCCAGGCAAGAATTGCTTCTGGAAGTCAACACAGGTTCTTCACAACCAATTTCTGAAAGAACACTTGGCAGGGAACTGCATACCATGAACATATGGAGCAGAGTGGCACACAAGAGGCCTTTGCTCACTTCTGCTCACGATGTTGCCCAGTTACATTGGATGAAGAGACACAAAAACTAGACTGTTCATAACTGGAAACATGTTATCTGGTCAGATGAATCTCGTTCCTGCCTGTGTGCGAATGATGCTTGGCATCGTGTTCATTGTAGATCTCAGGAAGCCTTCAGTGAGGACTGCGTGCAGGTGTGGTTCAAGCTGGAGGCTCTGTGATGTTCTGGGGGTGTTTTAATTACG